TTTTTTTTTTTTTTTTTTTTTAAAAAAACAAGGGGTAAAGGTTGCCAGAGGGTTGCAGCTGGCAGAGCAGGGCCGGACAGGGGTCTTTTTGGTGCTAGCAGAAGTCTCAGTCCCTGACCTGAGGAGCAGAAAAGGAGGGGAGAAGTCCAGAATCTGCCTCGTTCTACGGTTGCATTTGTATGGACAGAAACTAGAAAACTATTTAGTCCCTACTGCTGGCCAGGCTCAGTGTTAAGTGTCTTACAGGCGTTGTCTTGTTTAATCCTGCAGTTTTGTTTGTTTGTGTTTAATGGTAGTGTGAGGGGGAGGGAGAGAAGGGCGTTTTGACAGGGTCTCACTATGTTTCAGTCCTCTGCCCCTGCCTCCTCGTTAGCTAGGATTATAGGCACACACCATCTGCCTAGCCTGTCCAGGCTGGTCTGGGATTCAAACTTGGGCCTCCCCTGTGGCTCTGGCCCTATGCAGTGATCCCCTACCGCTTGTATCACATCAGCTGGCCCTAATTGCTCAGGTTTTATCTGCGCGATTCCTGTGAGCTCAGTTTCTCCCCGACAGCTACTTGCTAGTAAGGAACAGACCACTGAGTTGAATCTATTTCTGTTTGATTGCAAAATCTTTCCTCTTAACAACTTTGATATGTTGTCTCACAGACCAGAGAGCAAGCTATCCAAGGAAATAAATCATTAGGGTTATAATTATTTCAAAAGCAGAAGAAAAAGTGACCAGCGGTATTTGTACTGGATTTTGAAGAGGGTAGGGAGTTTGTCAGGCATGCCAAGGGGCTGAAGGGCAGAGGGACTGACTTGACCTGAGGTAGTGGCCATAAAGGAATAATACCATTTCTCTTAAGCCCTTCACAGAATGTGGGATGGGACAGGCTAAGCAAAAGGTGGGGAGGGCAAGCTTAGTGGTGATGGGCAGTCCCGTGGTGACACCACTTCTCCCTCCACTCAGTGAGTACTACTTCAGCGTGGACAACTTAGAGCGAGACTTCTTCCTGCGCCGAAAGATGGATGCGGATGGCTTTCTTCCTATCACCCTCATTGCTTCCTTCCACCGAGTGCAGGCCCTCACCACTGACATTTCACTCATCTTTGCGGTACGTCTCCCTCCCTGGGCCTGGGGGCCAGGGGAACGAGAGGTCTTTACTAAGGAGCCGGATTCTGGGGCCAAAGCAGAATGCTCTGGAGGAGTCTGCCACTATCTGCTTGCCTCTGTTACTATCCCCGCCACCTCCTCTCTTTATTATGGGAAATGTTCGACATATACAGAAGTAGGCAGAATGTACAGTGAACTCACCACTAGCTTCCACAGGTAAGACTCATGGCCAGCTTATTCCACTTACACCCTCATTTGTTTCCACTTTCCTAATACGTTGAAGGAAGTTCTCGATCTTCTTTCTAGTTCTAGGAATTTCATCTGCAGATGTTTCAGTACGTATTTCTAGAAGATAAAGACTCGTTTTTAAAAAAACACACACATTATCATTATCACACCTAAAAAATAGTAACTTTTTGGGGGCGAGAAGGGCAGATTTTTGCTATGGGGTTTACATGCTTGCTGGAGAGATAGAGAGAAAGAAAGTGAGAAATCACACCCCCTGGGGAGGCTGACCACGCTGCAGTCCCTTCTCCAGTCTCCTCTTAGAATTTTGGGCACACATGCTTACGTGCCTGGCATGAGTTTCAAGCTGCCAGGTCCAGGACTCAAACCGCTATTGGCCATGTTGGAGTCAGTGCCTTAACTACTACGCCAGCTGCTGGTCCCATTAACGCTTTCTTGCTTCTTTCTCTCTCCCCTCCCTCTTTTTTTTTTTTTTTTTTTTTTTATAAATAAAGTTTTTGCCTTAGGCCACAGGCATTATCCTAAGAGTGAGAAAGACAGATTTTGGAAGTGAGAAATCCCTCAGAAGGGATGGTCACTTTCTTCTCCATTCTCCTGGGGTCTCGGGCGTGCACACAACCAGCGTGATTTATCAAGCCACCAGGTCCAGCACTGGAACTGATCACTATGCCATCTGATTTCGTAATAACCACCAAATATCCAGTTTCAGATTTACCTCTGTCAAAGTAATTTTTTTGAATTGTAAGACTCTAGATACAAATAGACCCCACTTACTGTTTTAGTCTCCCTCTTTTTTTTTCCTTGCAATTTATTATTTACATAAACTGGGTTATACGTCCTACGGAATTTCCCACAGGGCAGAGTCTTGTCTTTTAACCGTCATCTGTACTCTGAGTTTTTTATCAACTGGCGATCTGGAAGCCTGATGAGGTTCAGGTTTTGGAGTTTATCAGGAGTACTTTATGGATGATGACCTGTCTTTTCAGGTGGCATGCAATGTTTTTTCTGATTCTCTCTTACAGAAGCTCCTGTTGATCACTGCCTATTATTTCATTAGGGATTACAACATGGTGATACTCTAATAAATGACGACCGACTGCCATCAGCTGATAGTCCTCATATCAGTCATAGGGAAGTAGTTTATACCGGAAGAGGGAATAAATGCATGATCCCCTGTTAACTGTGTTTCTGAATTATGAGTTGAGGTACCAGCAGTTAGTGTAATGGCTATGTCGCTGGACTCCCATGTAGTAGTCGACTGTGGTTTGAGTCCTGGACCCGGTGGCTTAAACTCACGCCAGGTGCGTGTGTGTGCATACCCAAGATCCCGAGAGGAGAATGGAGAAGGGACTACAGCGTGGCCGAACCCCCTGGGGGGTGATTTCTCACTTTCTGTCTCTCTCTATCTCTCTGTCTGCCTTTCTGGCGAGCACATGTGCACTATAGCAAAAACCTCTCCTAAAAAAGAATTACGAGTTGATCCCTAATAACCTTGAGAGGTGACTGATGAGATTTTAATTCTTTTGTTTTAATTCATTATTACAAGTTTTCAGGTTCAGGCACTGTTTGTTTTGGTTCATTGCAGTTAAAATACGCTGGATCAAATTGTCTCGCCTTCGGCCGGTGAGACCATATTTTGTCTTGCACATTTCCTGCCCCAAATCTGGAACTGGGCACGTTTTTCCTTTTTTAATGGCAATGTGTATGCCGGGTGAAGTGGTCTTAGACAGGGTCGCAGTTCTCTTGGCCCAGTCTCCCGAGTAGCAGCAACTGCTAGGTGTGCACTATTGCACCTGTTTTTTGTTTCTTTTTTTTTTCTCCCCAGATGGGCCAGATCAACCTGGGCTTACCCAGTATGAGTTAAGGGGTGATTTTTTGGTAAAATGAAACAGTATCATGAAATGATATTGATAATATCATGATAATGATATTAAAGAAAGATCTTTAAGTAGCTCCAAGGATCTTTTCTTTGTACTTACTCCTTTCTCCCATGCCAAAAATCTTAATTCTTAATCTCATTTACGTGATTCCTCCTTTGTTTTATTCTATAGAATATGTGCATTATTTTCACAGTACCTCTGAATACTATTTTACCCCAGTTTGGAGAACGAAGTGATTGTATGTTCAAGTCATTGGAAATCATCTTTGTATAGTAATGCCTTTACCTTTAATTAGTTTTATTTGCTCTAAAGTTTTGAGGATTGTTTTTCTCCCTGTAGCTTACTGATTTGTTTAGCATTTATTTACAACATGTGGTTCCAAAGGCTTTTTGTGTTTTTTTTTTTGGGGGGGGGGCGGGGAGAAGTTTTTGCTATTCGGCGCTCGGCGCGTGCGTGAAACAGACAGAATGCAAGAAATCACTCCCCAGGGGGGATGCCACGCCAGGTCCAGGATTCGAACCACGGTTGACTGCATGGGAGTCCAGTGATGTAGCCATTACGCCAACTACTGGTCTCCCAAAGTCTTAAATACAGTATATTCAATAAATTCTTTCCTCTTTTTAAGGAAAATAAAAAAGAATTGTTTTGTTATTAGTTTTTAATTTGACCAGAGAGAAAGGGAAAGTGGTGAGAAAGCAAACTATCAGGTCTGGGACTCAAACCACAGTTGGCCACGTGAGAGTACAGCATCCCAACCACTATGCCACTTACCAGCCCCTCAATACATTCTTAACTTCTGCCTTTTCCCTTTTCTTTTCCTGTAGGGAACATTTGACTCATCCTTCCATTAATTAATTAATTAATTAATTAATGCCTCTTTATGTATTTCTGTCTCTCCGGTTAGGTAAATGGTAACATACAACATGTATTTATTTGGTTCTTTTATTGCTCTCACTAAAGTATCTGGGAGCTAACTGGAAAGTATGGATAGTATGTAACAAAAAGATTCCTCATGCGTACTGACAGTTGCAATGTACACCACTGATTGGATGTTCTATGTTATTTTCCGAGGCTCTATAGAGATGGGCATTTTGTTTTTTTCCACTCTTACTAATACAAAACTGCAGTCCTGTCATAATGAATAGCCTTGTATATTCTCTTCTTATTTTTGGCACTGTCTTTGATACACATTTGTGGCTGCATTAAAGGACTAGTATAGACATACTCAGACTCAGTACTGTCGGATTCCCTTTCAAGCGGTCATGCCGTTTGCGTTCTCACCAGTAGTGTATGGAAGTGGCTCTTTGCCCAGCCTCATCAACAGAGCAGAGCAACATTGAAATAAAAACATTCTTTCCCTCTACTTTTTACCCGTTTTTTGGAGGAGATAAACACTCATAGTAGTTCACCTGCAAATCCAAAAAAAAAAAGTGTGTATTTTTAATTAAAAATTTGAACATGAAAGGAACGTCATACACACTGACTTGTACCTGCTCTTTTGGAGTTGTTTAATATATTTTGCGGATCTTTCTATCTCGGCACATGACATTCTTTTTCTTTTTCTTTCTTTTTTTTTTTCCTTTTTGGTATAGGACATGAGCATTTGCTGGAGAGACACAGACAGAAAGTGAGAAATCACCCCCCGGGGGGAGGTGGCCACGCCAGAGTCCGTTCTCTGGCTGATTCCCATTTCCCATGCCCACACACATGCCTGGCGTGAGTTTCAGGCCACCAGGTTCAGGACTCAAACCATGGCCGACTATTTGGGAGTCCAGTGGTGTAACCATTACACCACCTTTTGGTCCTCACCTGGTGGCTGCCTTTGTCACTTCTTCTCCCTCCTCCCCCACCCCACCCCACCCACCCCTGTCTCTCTCTGGTCAAACTAAAATAAATGAATGAATAAATAAAACTAAATAATTATTTTTTAAAAATACTGTCTTCTGTTAGTACAAGTGTTCTCTAAGGCTGATTATTAGAAATAGACTTTCAGGGTGGAAGAGTAGGCACATTTTTCCTGATGGCTACCCTCCTACAAGTGTGTACTGCTCATCTGTCTGCTCATCATGGGAGATGGTGCCGATTTTTTTAGGCTACTGGCCCCCATCTTCCAGGACCTCAATCTGTCCTAGGCTTCCTGTTAATTGGTTCTCCCACCTTCTCCCCTCCAGGCCCTGAAGGATAGCAAAGTGGTGGAGATCGTTGATGAGAAAGTCCGTAGGAGGGAGGAGCCTGAAAAGTGGCCTCTTCCTGGTCCGCCGATAGTGGATTATTCTCAGACTGATTTTTCCCAGCTTCTCAACTGCCCTGAGTTTGTCCCCCGCCAGCACTACCAGAAGGAGACAGGTACGTGCCCTGCTGGCTCGTGGGTGCCTCCCTGTTGCCCTTGTTCTCTGGCTAACAGTCCTCCTCAAGGCTGGCAGCAGGAGGAAGACTGGGGGGATAAGAACCCTATCTTTCTACCTTTCAGAGTCAGCGCCTGGCTCCCCTCGTGCAGTCACCCCAGTGCCAACCAAAACAGAGGAGGTCAGCAACCTAAAGACCCTGCCCAAGGGCCTGTCTGCCAGCCTGCCTGATCTGGATTCCGAGAACTGGATTGAAGTGAAGAAGAGGCCGCGGCCCTCCCCAGCACGGCCCAAGGTAGGTGGGGCCTTTCCCTTGCTTTGGGGAGGAAATCACATGGGTCCAGGGTTCTGCATCAGAGGGGCCAACAAGAAGGCTGGGTGATTTGGGGTCGTGAACTTGAGGTCACCAGGACTGACTATAGGAGGTCGTCCCGTTTCCCAAGCGGACTGCTCCTTGGACGTACTACTTGGTTCCTGAGTCGTGTTTTTCACAGGAGGAGACTGGGCAGTTGTACCCTAGGTTTCTTGACTTTGGGCTGTTCTTTTTCTTCTGCTTGCTCTCTGGGACTGCATTTTCAGGGTCCCACTGAGTTTGTCTTCAATGTCCTAATATATACTGATCAGGCCCTCCAAAGGAAGGAGGTGGGAGCAGACACATGGGGACCCAGATATGGAGTTAAGGTCTAGGCTGGATGACAGCTTTCCTGCACTGATGGCTGGGTGACAGAAGCATAAAGTAAGAGTGTGTGTGTGTTTAAAAGGGGGGAGACAGGCAAGTGGTGTGGTGGTTGGAGTGGCTAGATCCCACATGGCTGACTACACAACTTGAGTCCTGGCCCCATGGCTTGAGGGACACACCAGGGGGTACTGCACAGGCTCCAGGGTCAGAGGAGTGGAAGAGAGGGGATTGTGGCACGGTCATCCCCTCCGGGGGATGCTTTTTTCTCTCTCCCTCTCTCTCCCTCCCTCCCTCTCTTTCTCTCCCCCCCCCACCTGCTTCCCCCCTCTTGTCTCCAGCAAGAGCATGTACCTATTGCAAGAAAAAACAGACACTGTTCACTATTACAGAAGCTTTTTTTTTTAATTTGCTATAGGGCATTTGTGCTCACCAGAGACAGAGAGAAAGCCCCCCCCCCAAGAGGGTATAGCTATGCCACAATGACCTCTCCTCCATTTTCTTGAGATATAAGGCACACATGCAAATGCGCCTGGTGTGTTTTAAAGCTACTGAGTCCTGGACTTGAGCCACACAGTCCGCCATGTGGGAGTGGCCACCTTGGACTCAGGGTCTATGGAATTCTGTGCTCCCTTAACTATTTTGCTACTGTGATCTACTCTCTCATCTCCGTCCTCTTCCCTGCCTTTTCGTACCCAGAATTCTTCACTGTTCTGGCTGTAGCTCTTCAAAAAGTATTGGTGGTCAGACCAGAGTCATGAGGCAGAAGGCAGTAAGTAGACAGCCTTCCTCACAAGGTCTGGGTCTATAAACTGAAAGCTTTGGAAAAGTGGGAGCCAGAATTAGCCCCCCGTTGTGGAGATAAAACCCTTACTCCCTTGAGACCTTAACAAGATTGTTGGAAGTTGACGTGGGAAACTGCAGCAGAGAAAGGGAATTGACTTCCGGGTGTGTACTGTGGGGTAGACAAATGCCTCTCCCCCAAAGTCTCAGATAAATTTAGTTTATAGCTCTGGAATATTTATCCTGGGTGAAGACACAGTTTTCTCTTGCCTTGAGACTTGCTGTTCTTTCTGCCCAGCACACTCTGTCCCTGCCTTCATCTGGCTTGTGTTCATCTTTTAGTGTTGCTTCTTCCATGAAACCACCCCTGTCCACCCTCGCTCCCCATGTGCTCCCAGGAATTAATTCGTGGTCTTTAACGTACCTCATTGCACTTGGCTTTTTCTCCTATTAAACTGTGTGCTCCCTGAGTCCATGGGCTTGTCCTACTCGCTTTCTCATGTGGAGCCTGGTTCTAGTGGCCCTTGCTCACTCATCAGAGTCGAACATCTGCCTGGCCAGGTCCCAGTCTAGGAACTAGGTGCACAACAGGAAGCAAGGTAACCGACGTCCTTGCTCCTCAGAGCTCGCAGTGCAGTGGGAGATTTTGAGTAGTTGGGTAAGTGGGTGAATCAGCCTGTTGATCTTCTGCTGTGTGCACAGTCTCTGGCTAGCTTGGGGTATGAAGATAAATGAGAGCACAGTTTCTGCCTGTAGGGAACTTGTCATCTAATTGCAGGTGACTGTGACGCAAGATGTAAGTAGAGGAAGCTAGACGCCTGTGGGGCCATCTTTGTCCAGTGTGCTGACTCTAAGGAGGGCACCTGCGACCTGCTGTGACAGTCTCATGCTAGAGGTCCTAGTCTGTGGCCCCCCTGGTGATTGCTTCTCCCCTGGATCTGTCTTTGTTTTAGAAGTCAGAAGAGTCCAGGTTCGCCCACCCGGCCTCCCTGCCTCAGCAGCTGCCCTCCCAGCAGCTTGTGTCCAAGGATCAGGATGAGCAAGAGGAGCTGGATTTCCTGTTTGATGAGGAGATGGAGCAGATGGACGGACGGAAGAACACCTTCACCGCCTGGTCTGATGAGGACTCTGACTATGAGATTGATGATCGGGATGTCAACAAGATCCTCATCGTCACTCAGACACCACCCTACATGCGCCGGCACCCAGGGGGCGACCGCACAGGCAACCACACTTCACGTGCCAAGATGAGCGCCGAGCTGGCCAAGGTCATCAACGATGGCCTCTTCTACTACGAGCAGGACCTGTGGACTGAGAAGTTCGAACCCGAGTATTCCCAGATCAAGGTGAGCCTCGGGCAGCAGCGAGCGGGGGCCTGCAGTGTCTGCAGTATGGGGAAGAGGAAGGCTGCTGAGCCGTGTGCCTGGAGCCGATCCCTCCGATCCAGGCCCCAGAACCCTCGTGTGAGGAGAGGGTGGTGATTGACACCTTGTTGGGGCAGTAAGAGGGAGGGGAGATGGACGTACAGACGTAAACGGCGTGTGGCTGGAGTGTGGCTGCTGTCCTGCCTGGGCATCGTGTTTAACAGTGTGACGGTCCTCCCAGCACTTTGATGAGAAATGGAATAAGGCTTAGAGCGTGATTTCTATTCTTACATGTTTAGGCATATAAAAGAGTTTTAAAGCCTTTTAAGGAGCTTGCTTTGAGTATGGAAAATGGAGGATAGGTCTTTTAAGAGGTTGCTGCTGTCTGAGAATAGTCGGAACATCTCCGCCTTAGGCTTTTACACAGTGGGCGTGTTTGGTGGGCGGGCCTTTGTGAGCCAGTGTCAGGAGCAGTACTGTGTTTGGTGGAGGTGAGGAGAGTGGCCCTGCATGACAAAACAGTGGCAGGAAGGAACCTGGGGAGGCACCAGAGCATCCTGGGCAGCCTCTGCAGTAAGTTCCTAGGGAGCTGCTGTCCTCCTGATTTGGGTCTCACTCAAGGGGAGGGGGCGCAAGTGCCCTCGTCTTCGGGTTAGCACACTCACGTCAGGTGACCGGGCATGAGAAATGGTGATGGGGCAGAGAGCCTGGGGACTAGAATTCCACGTATGTGGACATGGGAACTGCCCTGGCCAACTTCCTGCCAGTCTTGATTCCTAAACAGGCTAGAGCAGCCTGCTTACTAATGCCTTTCCCCACCCATCTCATATCCTCTGCAGCAAGAAGTTGAGAACTTCAAAAAAGTCAACATGATCAGCCGGGAGCAGTTTGACACACTGACTCCTGAGCCTCCTGTGGATCCCAACCAGGAGGTTCCTCCTGGGCCACCCCGCTTCCAGCAAGGTGAGGAGCAGACACCTGAGACCCAGGCATGAGTGAAAGGGTCTGGAGTCTCAGGCCGGGAGTCTTCCGCCCACTGACCTTCTCTCTTCCTCTATAGTTCCTACTGACGCTCTGGCCAACAAGTTGTTTGGTGCTCCTGAGCCCTCCACCATTGCCCGCTCTCTACCAACCACTGTCCCAGAGTCGCCAAACTACCGCAACGCCAGGACCCCCCGCACTCCCCGGACACCACAGCTCAAAGACTCAAGCCAGACGCCACGGTTTTACCCAGTGGTGAAGGAAGGACGGACACTAGATGCCAAGGTATAGTGCTCTTGCTGGGCCCAGTTGGTTGTGTTCAGTGCTTTGCCTCCCTCCCTTGCCCTGAACCAAGAATGGGCCGATCCCCTGCCTGCTCTGTGTTCTTAGACTGTGGGCTAACCCAGATTGAATGGCCACATCTGCAAAATAGACCAGGAGTGGTAATCCTTGTAGCCATGAAAGGCCTTGGGAGGACAGGCTAGGTTTGAATCCTTGAGCAAATCACTTTACTCCCAAGGCTCAGTTGCTTCGCCTATGAAATCTGGCATACCAGTTCTTGGCTCACAGCTGTGAGCATTGTGCAGGAGACTAGGCAGGAGCGCGGACTGTCAGCATGCGAAGCACCATGCACACATGACGGCAGCTTAGCTCTACAAGTGCTTGGTACTTCTTGGAGTAGGAGGACAAATGATAACAGATTCTGGACTGACCTTTGTAGATGCCTCGAAAAAGAAAGACAAGACACAGCTCAAACCCGCCCTTGGAGAGCCACGTGGGCTGGGTGATGGATTCCCGCGAGCACAGGCCCCGGACTGCTTCCATCAGGTACAGAGGACTCCGGAAGGAGAGATCTGGCTGACTACTTCTGAGATGTGGATGAGAGAGCTGGGGAAGAAGTGGGACAAGAAGATTGGTCTGAAAATTGGAAGGGCCCCTCATTCTCATCTCAGTCTGAAAATCCAGTAGTATGAAATGTTTAATTTGGGCCTGGGAAGGAAAAGTCTTTATTTTTTTTAAAAGAATTATTTAACCTCATTTATTTATTTAATTCATTTATTGCTTAATTTGACCAGAAAGGGACACAGAGTAAGAGAGAGAGAGAGGAAGGGAAAGTGAGAAAGCAAGCCCCCAAGTCCAGGACTCGAATCATGGTTGGCCATGAGGTGCCGGTAACTACCACGCCACCTGCTGGCCCCAAGGATAAGTCTTTAAGAAGTGATGTCATAGGAACTGAGACCAAATTTGAGGACATGCAGAGAGAGAATCTCTGAATTGATTTCCAAACCCAAATATCTGCTGTCTGCCTGGGGTGGGAGCATGGCGACAGTGGCATGGGGAGAGCGCCTCTGTGCAGTGGCTGAGGCCACATAGCAGGCCCTGGTTCTAGTTCTGGACCAGCGTTAATAAGCCAGACGGTCCTAACTAACTGGAAGGCTGGGGCAGAGGGTCTTACAATTTCTTGAAACATATTTCTCTCACCTCCCCCTATCAGTTAGAAAAAAGAGTTCTAAAAATATTGATTCCTTGACCCCACCCTAGATCTGATTCAACTTCTGAGGGTAGTGCCCACATTCCTTTTTATTTGTTTTCATTAAAATGGCCCCAGTGTGTGTTTCCTGTTCCTAGCAAACAGTGGCTTCACTTGGAAGCCACTGGCCTGTGTACTAAACTCTCTTCAGAGGTAAAAGACTGAAAATAAGCTGATATTGAGAAAAACATAGATGGATTGGTCCAGGTTGGCTCATTGAGGAAAGTTAATTGTAAAAGTTACATAAATAAATGATTAAAAGGTCAGGTTTTGGCGTTGGACAGATTTTTGCCATGCATGAGCTCTGTGATTCTGGACAGTCTCTCTGTCTCTGTGAGCCTGAGTGATCTCTTTGTAGAAGCCTCTGATGGTTATGCAAAGACTTCCCTTAGGAAGTTAAGGGCCCAGCTCAGTACCTGGACCTCCTTACTCGGTGCCTTATGAGAGGCTAAATCTTAATGGATGGGAGGGACCAAAGGGCTTCCTCCTAACCCAGGGCAGGAACTCAGTGACCAATGACACACTCTCTTGTGACTTCAATAGCTCCAGCCCCTCAGAAGGGACCCCTGCAGTTGGCAGCTATGGCTGTACTCCTCAGTCATTGCCCAAGTTCCAGCATCCTTCCCATGAGCTGCTCAAGGAAAATGGCTTCACACAACACGTCTACCACAAGTATCGTAGGCGCTGCCTTAACGGTAAGAAGTGCAGGGGGCAGGGGCTGAGCCTCTAGGGCCATTACTGAGGCCCAAAGTGTAAGGGCTGGGTAAGCAGGTAACCTGTTCTCTGACCTCAGAACAAGAAGTGACATGACATTATAGCAAGAAGGATCGAAGTTAGACTCTGCCCAGGTAGTTTTGAAATGCAGAAGGCAAAAGGAATTTGGCACTTAGGACATTCCTATTCCTTCATCTTCCTTTGTTGACATAAAAAAGTGGCATTTAAGTGTTTTTGTAACTCTGACAAGATTGTGTTCCCCTGTCTATCACAAAAAGAGGTATCCTATATATACTGTAGAACCAGGAGTTGCCAGACTGATGCATGGGCCAGATTCAGCTCGTGGTCTGTTCTGTACAACCTTTTACAGGTGTGCGTGTGTGCTCGTGCATGCATGCTGCAGGGTATATGCCCTTGCCAGAGAGAGAGAAGGGGAGAGAGGAGAAAGCTTTCCTTCATGAGGAATGGCCATGCTGCACTCTCTTCTCTCTATCTCCCTCCTTTTGGATTATTCGGTGCACGCACCCAACATGTTTCTCAAGCCACCAGGTCCAAGTTTTTAAAGTGTCATAGAGGGTGCAGGTTCCAGAGAAAGAATCCTACAATGGGACACGGTCATGCTATAATCTTTTTTTCCCCTCTATTCCTCCTACCTGTCGGGATTTTGGGCACACACATCTGGTGTTTATTTCAGACTGCTGCGACGAGAATTTAAACTGGCTGACAATGTGGGATCCAGCGCCTGATGCACAGTATTAACCACTCTATTGCAAGGGCTGACCCTGAAGGAGTTCTTTATATATTCTAGATTTGGGTTGTCAGATAACATGATTTGCAAATATTTTTTCCCATTTTGTGGGCTATCTTTCCACTTTCTTGATATGTACAAGTTGTTAGTGTTTTTTTATATTCTAATTTTTTATTTTAAAAGTTCCTTGCTTTTTTAAAGTTGTTATAATGATGTCTGTTTTATCTATTTTTATCTGTTTTGTTGCTTGTGCTTTTGGTGGTGTGTGTGTGTATATATGTATATTATATATGTATGTATTGTTTTTATTTTACCATCTTGTAACGTTGTAGGACTCTTCAAATGATTATTGTTAATGAGCAGCACATAATTTGTTAGAATTTACAAATCATTTGTTCATGCTTTGCTTTTGTCCTGACTACACGTGAAAGTGATGCTGGCTGAGAGGAAGAACCAGGCTAGTGGTGCCACCTTCTGAGGAGGTCAGGCCTGTGTCCAGTAGAAGGGCCTCACATAGAATATTTAGTGCTCAGTACTAAACTGCTGAATGGCTGATGACGAACAAGGGACGTTGGCGATACAGGGGAAAGGCCTAGCTCATAGGTCCTCGCGTTCTTTGTCCTGATGTCAGGACAGCCTGACTTGAAACATACCTTTCCTTCCTCACCAGAGCGGAAACGCTTGGGTATTGGCCAGTCTCAGGAGATGAACACTCTCTTCCGCTTCTGGTCCTTCTTCCTCCGAGATCATTTCAACAAAAAGATGTATGAGGAATTCAAGCAGCTGGCTCTGGAGGATGCCAAAGAAGGCTACAGGTGAGGTGGATTGGGGTAGCAGATTTTCAGTGGTGCTCTGGGAACAGTAGAGGTGTCCCTGGAAAGTCTACTTGTAGAATGGTAGTTGGAATTTCTTTGCATGTGTATATATAATCCATAAATTCTTACTATAAAATTATTTACAGGTGGGACCAGCAGTTAGCGTAATGGCTATGTCGCTGGACTTCCATGTAGTCAACTGCGATTCGAGTCCTGGACCCGGTGGCTTAAACTCACACTGGGTGCGGGTGCGTGTGCGTGTGTGCCCAGGATCCTAAGAGGAGAATGGAGGAGAAGAGATTGCTGTGTGGCCATCCCCCCTGGGGGGTGATTTCTCACTTTCTATCTCTCTGGCGAGTGCACGCACTCTATAGCAAAAAAAAAAAAAAAAAAATTACAGAGGGCTGTTAAGGAGACTCAACAATTTGGACATTAAAGGACAAAGACACTCTTCTGCCACCTCCTCTGTCCCAACACACACATTCACACTACAAAGGCAAAGGAACATTTTTCCCTCTCTGGTCAAGTTAAAATAAATAAACAAAATAAATAAAGTTAAATAAAATAAAACTTAAAATATTTTACAGGGACCAGCAGGTTGGGGTAATGGTTATATTATTGGACTCCCATGTAGTCAATTGCAGTTCAAGTCCTGTACTCGGTGGCTTAAAACTCAATGCCAGGCATGTATGTGTGCGTGCCCAAATCCCAAGAGAAGAATGGAGAAGAGATTGCAGTATGGCCATCCCCTGCAGGGGTTGATTTCTCTGTAATTGGTGTTTCTCTGGTGTTTTCTACCTCTCTATTTCTCTGTCTCTCCAGCGAGCACACACACTCTTAAAACAAAAATCTCTCTTTTAAAAAAAAAAGTAATTTATTAATGTGGTTCAAATTTCAAAGGGTTTCTAAGTTTATATGGAAAAAGTCTTTTCCTGGGCCACCTGGTAGCATGGTGGTTAGGGCAGTGGGATCCCACGTGGTCGACCCTATGGTTCGAATATCATATTCAGCACCTTAAATATAACACCAGGCACATGTGTATGCATGCCCAAATTCCCTAGAGAAGAAAGGAGAAGAAGGGATTGTGGCATGACCGTTCTGCCTGCTGGGGGGTACTTTTTCACCTCCCCCCCCCCCTTTGACTACTCTTCCTTCCCCTTTCTCTACTCTCCCTAGCGAGCACATGCACCCTATAGCAAAACTAAAAAAAATTAATTCATTAAAGTAAAATTGATGAAGTCTCCTATCCCTGTCCCCTGGTCATCTAGTTTCTTTGCCCACAAGCAGACAGCATGGTTACTCCTGTGAGGCCTTTATGGAAGTGCTTTCTTTTCCTGTGTAAGCTAGTGCATGTCTGCGTGACCTCCGTGCAGCCACTTACCCCTTCTCTGTATGCACAAGGTGGCTTATTTATGTCATACATGCTTTTGCACCACACCAGCCTGTTTTTGTTTTTTTTAACTTAATGCTGTATTTTGTACATAAATGCTTTTTCTTTGTTGTGGGGGTTTTTTTGGGGGGGGGGGCAGTTGCTATAGGGCACGTGCGCTTACCAGACACAGACAGACAGAAAGTGAGAAATCACCTCCCAGAGGGTATGGCCACACCGTAGTCCCTTCTCCTCTAGTCTCTTCTCGGGATCTTGGGCACACATGCACACGCGTCTGGCTTGAGTTAAAGCCACCGGTTCCAGGACTCAAACTGCAGTCAACTACATGGGAGTCCAGCGACATAGCCATTATGCCAACTGCTGATCCCCAATATTATGCTTTAAAAAAGAAAACTTTTGGGGGTCAACAGGTGGTATAGTGGTTAAGGCCCTGGACTCCCACATGGCCGACGTTTGAGTCCCAGATCTAGCAGCTTGAAGCTCATGCTGGGTACATGTGCATGCGTGCCCTAAATCCCAAGGGGGGAAGGGATTACAGCATGGTCATTGCTCCGGGCGGCGGCAGGGGGTGGTGGTGGTGATTTTTGTCTGTCTCTCTTTCTCTATCACCCCATCAAGTGCATGTACTCTATAGCACGTGCACTTACCAGAAAAAAGAGAGAGCACCGCCAGAGGGAGTGTCTATGCTGCAGTCCCTTTTCCATTCTCTTGGTATTGTGGGCATGTGCCTGATATGTTTTCCAAGCCACCGGGTCCAGGACTTCAAACACATAATCAGCTATGTGGGATCCAGCCATCTTAACCACCGTGCCACCAGGTGGACCTGTAAATCCTTTTTTTTTTTTTTTTTTTAAGTTAGTCGTTCCTTTCATGTGTGAGAGAGGCAGGACTCCCAGTAGGATCCCCGTGGCCTGTGTACTCGGGGAGGTCTCCAGATGTGAATCCAGAACCTTCCCATCTGGGACAGCCGAGCACAGTGTTTTTGTTTGTTTTAATTTAAATTTATTTCTTTATTTAAATTTGACCAGAGGAGCAGAGAGAGAGAGAGAGAAAGCAAGCCACCAGGTCCAAGACTTGAACTATGATCTGCCATGTGGGGAGTCCAACGCCCTTAACCACCATGCCATCTGCTGGCCCCTGCTTGTTTGTTTTTTATTTTAGAGAGCTATTTGCTTTAGGATGTGCATACTCACCAGATAGAGACAGAAAGCACGAAATCACCCCTGGAGTGGTTGACCACGCTGCAGTCCCTTTTCCATTCTCCTTTCAGAATTTGGGGCTAGCACGCACATGTGCCTGGCATGAAGTTTAAGCCACCGGGTTCAGGACTCAAACCATGGTTGACTACATGGGAGTCTAGCAGCGTAACTATTACTCCATCTGCTGGTTTCTCAAAGTTGTATTTTACTGATGCACACCATCTGGCCCCCATGCAAAAAAAAAAACAAAAAAACACTTTTTTAAAAATAATTATTTATTTTATTTTATTTATTTATTCATTTTATTTAAATTTGACCAGAGGGAGACAGAGAGAGAGAGAGAAAGTGAGAAAGCAAGCCATCAGGTCCGGGATTTGAACTGTGGTCAGCCATGTGGGAATGTCCGGCAATTTAACCACCACTTCACCTTCTGGTCCCGCAAAAACTTTTTTAAGAGCCCTTCCCTCTCCCATGATTTTTTAAATTAAATGTGCTTGAAAAGTACAGAAATGTTTAAAGCTAGACAAAGTGTTCTTCAGTTCAGCGATGACAGGAATTGAAGTATTTATCATCAGGCTTCCTAGTCTATCAGTACTGATTTGATTGATAGAGATTTTTTGCTATATGGCATGTGCGCTCACTAGAGATAAAAAGTGGGAAATCATCCCCTGGGGGGGGATGGCCATGCCACAATCCCTTTTCCATTATCCTGTCAGGATTTTGGGTATGCATACACACGTGCCCAGTGTGAGTTTCAAGCTGAGGGGCCCAGGACTTGCACTGTGGTCAGCCGTGTGGGAGTCCAGCACCTTAGCCCTGCACTGCCTGCTGGCCCTGAGCAGTATTAAGTATGTGCCCTTGACATTGCGTGGGTGCGTAGACATAAAATTTACATAGTTGTATACAGTGTCCTTCTATACGTAGCACTCTGAAACATCTCTCCCATAACATAGTACGTTGTAAACATCTTTCAGTATCCTTAAGTGTGTATTTACACTATAAAATTCAGTAGTTCCTACTATTCTTTTGTATAGACTTAACCTAATTGCTTCTATTCTTAGAATTCCTAAGATTTCCTAGCCGCCTTTTTTTTCAATGCTGCTATGAACAGTTTTTTACATCTGTAAAATCTCAATCTGCATTTTTGGCCATTTCTTAGGATCTTTTTCTAGAAATAAAATTTCTGAGTCAGATAAATGAACAGACTACTAATTGGTATGGTCAAATAGCTTTGCAGGGAGCTCCTACGAGGGATTGGCAAACACCGTGAAGGGACGCACGGTGAGCGTTTTCGGCTTTGTGGGCTGTACGGGCTCTCCCATGATCTGCTAAACTTACTCTTGGAGTAGAAAGCAGCCATAGACATGCAAAAGAGCAGGAGTAAGGAAGTGGGTGTCTGCAGGGTTTGCAGACCTCGGGCAAACTTGAATGCTGAGCCCATGTAGGCTGGCGTTGACAGAGCCTTCGGAAAGCCGTGTGCCCACCTGTTCTCAGTGTAGGAGTAACGTGGCGTGAACCGTTCGCAGTTCCTGTGTGGTGCAGGCTCGTTTCACCACTCACAGAAGACTTCACTGACTCGTGTTCTCCTACAGATATGGTTTGGAGTGCCTTTTTCGATACTACAGTTACGGCCTGGAAAAGAAGTTCCGGCTGGACATATTTAAAGATTTTCAGGAGGAAACCGTGAAGGACTACGAAGCTGGTAAGAGCTAGAGCTAGTGCCGGCTCTCCCGGATCCCTGTCGTCTGGGCCGCCATCGTGTCTCTCCAGTTCCATCTGGAGCTTTGTTATCACCCTGTGCTTTGAACCTCTTGATCTTCACCCTCATCGTCTCAGCAGTTGAGCTACTCTCTCTCTCTTCTCTTCCCCTCCAGGCCAGCTCTATGGGCTAGAGAAGTTCTGGGCCTTCTTGAAATATTCCAAAGCCAAAAATTTGGACATTGACCCCAAACTGCAAGAATACCTCGGCAAATTCCGACGTCTCGAAGACTTCCGAGTGGATGTAAGTGAAATCGTTTATTTTTTATTATTTATTTTTTCTTTTTTTGGAGAGGATTTTGCTATAGGGCTCGTGCGCTCGCCAGACAGAGAGAGAGAGACAGAGAGACAGAAAGCGAGAAATCACCCCCCAGGGGGGATGGGCACGCACGCACACGCTCCCAGCGTGAGTTTAAGCCACTGGGTCCAGGACTCGAACCACAGTCAACTTCATGGGAGTCCAGCCACATAGCCATTATGCTAACTGCTGGTCCCTATTTTTATTTTTTTTAAAACAATAGAGTGAGAGAGAGTAAGTATAGAGAGGGACAGAGTGAGAGAGAGAGAGCTGCCCGGTCCAGGACTCAAACCGCTGTCAGCCATGTGGGAGCCCAGTGCCCTTAACTACCACTTCACCTGTTGGCCCCATGAGTGAAGTCTTTTTTCTAACCCTCCCTGACTAGACCCAGGAATCAGTGTACCTGGGTTCTGATGGCAGGTGTGCCACTAGCCCAGAGGACCATCCCCATCTCCACATCCCTGATTTGGGCTCTAGTTTCTCCATCTGTATGATGGGGTGTGAGACTTGGGAGTGGACAGTGAAGAATGATTGGAGGGAATGGTATGGTTGCCCCCCTCCTTGGTAGACATCACTAAAGCATCATAATGCCTCCTGTCTCATATCCATTAACCACTGCTAGTTGAATAGGAGGGTACCCAAAATAAATGTATTAGCTCTTTCTGGAAAAGGCCATTGCCAACCCCAGCAGTTTATAAATTGATGGCCACTTCTGTCATCTTGGAGCACTGTCTCAACAGTGACATCCAGTGGTGAGTTTGGGTTAGTGCTGCTGGTTAGGGTGTGTCAGAGGAGTTGGTGGGTGGAGTCGATTGTTTAATTGATGCAGCAGATGCTGATTGGATGTCTCTGATAGGTGCTTCAGGGATTTCAGAGATGAGTGAAAGATTTTTTTTTTTTCTGAGTTTAATGCCGTAGAGATCTGTGCTAGGCATCTTACTCCTTCAAACCATTCAGCAAAAAGGCAAATAAAAGTAAGTGGCACAGTTACTATATTAAAAGCTTCCGTTTATTGCTGGTGCACTCTGAGGCAGGCACCATGCTAGGTATTTCGCATTGACCTTGCTTGGCCCCATGTGCAGACAGGCTGTGGCTCCCCCAGTGAAGCAGTGGCAGGACGCTTGGGTCTCCCAGCGTGAAGATGAGTGCTCTCTTCCAGCCCTGAGCGCCTGCATGCTTGTGACGTGCAGACCTGTTGGGGGAACGAGAAGGGTTTGACTGTGGTTCTTGGAAAGGGAACGCCATGTTCTTGATTTACAGACTCATGCTAATAGTCAAGCCAGGCTGGATCTTGGTCTGTTTCCTAGGTCAGTGTCCCCTTTAGGGCCTTGACGGGGTCGAGCTGAGCTCCCCCCTTGAGGGGGCCATGAGCATCCGGGTCTCTGAGCTGAGCTATCTCGGCATTGTGCCTGCTGCATTTCACACGTTCTCTCCTGAGCAGGAGCCCTTCTCTGGAGTGGTGCAGACTCGTATGGGGAAAACTCTGGCCTCTGGGAGTAGGTGGGTTTAGAGTTTGTCTTCACCAGTTACCAGTTATGGGACCCTTGGCAGATTGTTTTCTGCGCTTCAGTTGTCTTGCCTTTGTAAAACAGAATCATGGCGTGGATCACATCCATATCAAAGGGTAGTGTGGACCCCCTAAGAGAAAGTGCATGAAACAGCACATGGGCTTTGGTGTCGAAATGCCAAATAACCCATACCCAGTAGTTCTGTTGTGACATTAAACCTACTCTCTACGTTTGGAGGTAAAAGGAGGTCTGTAAACAGCACTGGCAAGGAAGAGGGTGTGGGGATAGTGCCCCTTTCTCACCTGTGACTCCGTTCTCTTCGCAGCCCCCCATGGGTGAAGAGGGCAACCACAAACGACACCCAGCAGTAGCAGGAGGTGGCGGAGGTGAGGGCAGGAAGCGATGCCCCTCCCAGTCTTCCAGCAGGCCCGCAACCATGATCAGCCAACCCCCTACACCACCCACTGGCCAGCCTGTCCGGGGAGGTGCCCAATGGAC